TGCTAGGCGCGTTCCCTATCAACAAACTTTAAAGCGCCTGTCGGTTTACCGCGACTGTTGACTTCTTCTCTCGGCACAATTGTAAGGTACTATAACCACGTGACATGCTCTGAATGCGTTCCCCTGCGCAATCATTTGTGTCGCTCGTATTCTGCGTAGTGCTTCACCACGTAATTCGGCCGGTGATTCTCCTGGTCTTGCCTACTCCTGCTCTGTTTACCAAACATTCTCGACCACTGACGGCCACTTGTCTTTGTGTGTTTTGGGCGGCACTAGACTGCATGCTTTAGCTCCTGATTAGCTATCCTCCTAGCAACCCCACTGGGGTGAAGGAATGCAATTGGACCACGTGTGTAGGTTGCAGACCGCCTCCCGGGAGGTTGCTTTCAATCTGGTTTGCGTTGCAATTTGCATGTCGTGTATGCTGTTTTGCCCAGCCTTCTGGATTATAGTGTAAATGTACACAGTTGGTCTTTAACTTTTGTCATATGGGTCTTGTATGTATGTACTATTGTACATTACATGCTCACATATGTACACATTGCATGTGCATTAATTATTAGTACACATACATGTACACATTATGTGTGTGTGTCTCTCTGTTCTCATGTAGAATGAGTTGGTGGAGCCCCTGTTATCAGGACTGTACTCTCATCCTCTGCCTGAGTCTGGAGACGAGAGTCTCAGTGTGCAGCCCAGCGGCTCTCCTGATGCCCCGGTGAGCTATGTACACACACCTCCTCCTCTTCTCATCAACCCTATGTAGGCTCCTCTTCCTCTACTGCATATACATCCGTGTGCCGTACATAGCAATGTTCATACACCATTGTAGACGCTGGCACTGATGCGAGGAATAGCCCAATGGCTGGATGCTGCTGAGATTGATTCCTGAGGTCGGGACAATCCCAGTCTCTTCCTCCTGTGCATACTAACCTGTTGTACCACTTCCATAACACCTCTATGTTTTCATGGTGTACTTAATGTGTCTCTCTATAGAGCGTATTCAGCATCGGTAGAGCTACATATTAGATATTTTCTGTGTATTGACAGTTCTGTTCCCCTCTCCACACAGAGCTACTCCTTCCCTCTCCCTCCTACTCACTCCAAAAGACTGCCAGAGATACCCACTGATGTGAGCTGTTCTTTCTTAACATAGCGTGTGCCTGTTAACTGTCATTTGGTGCACACTCATGCCTGAAGATGTGTGTACTAGGTGCTCATACTTTACCTGTGTGCATCAATTGTTAGGAAACTCGTCCGTTGATGTCTTAACGTACATCGTAAGCTCTTGTTCCCTTTGCGTAGCGTCCTCGCTGTACCCAGAGGCTGCAGCACAAGGGTTGTGGTTTTTATTTATTTCTCTATCTAATATTTCTCTCTATGGCTGGTATGCTATACACTATAATTTCATACATACGTATGTCACGGAGTCAGTGTCTAAATGTTACTAATTTCATACGTACTATGTCACAGAGTCTGTTACTAATTTCATACATATATACGTATGTCACGGAGTCAGTGTCTAAATGTTACTAATTTCATACACTACGTATGTCACAGAGTCTGTTACTAATTTCATACATACATACGTATGTCACGGAGTCAGTGTCTTAATGCTACTAATTTCATACATACACTACGTATGTCACAGAGTCTGTTACTAATTTCATACATACATACGTATGTCACGGAGTCAGTGTCTTAATGCTACTAATTTCATACATACACTACGTATGTCACAGAGTCAGTGTCTAAATGTTACTAATTTCATAGATACGTACATGTCACAGAGTCTGTTACTAATTTCATACATATATACGTATGTCACGGAGTCAGTGTCTTAATGCTACTAATTTCATACATACACTACGTATGTCACAGAGTCAGTGTCTAAATGTTACTAATTTCATACATACGTACATGTCACAGAGTCTGTTACTAATTTCATACATATATACGTATGTCACGGAGTCAGTGTCTAAATGTTAATGCTACTACGGTGCAATGATGGATGGTATTCTTATATTCTGCAGCACAACCTCACCTACTTCTACACCAACATCCACTACAACGTTCTCCTGCACCTCTTTGCCAAGTACGTACATGTCTCAACAACTTGGTAGTTAGGTAGAAAGGCAAAGCACACAAGTCAACTACACCCAGGACAGCTCTTTCTTTTTCAAAGAAAAGAAGAGCTGCCCTGGGTGGGATTCGAACCCACGACACTCTGCAGTCTAGGCGGGCGCTCTACCAACTGAGCTACCAGGGCAACTCAGCTGGTAGGGGTTCAAATGTATGCTTACAACTTATAATAATATAATGTGTCTCCTAGCTTCCTCAGTTTTATTTAATGTGCATGTTTTTTTCTCCCCTGCCAGTATGATATTTGAGAGAAGAATAATCATCACGTCAAGTTCACTGAGTCTGGTGAGTGTGCCCCTGCAATTTAATGTCGTACAGTATATCAGCTGTGTACATGCACGCTCACTGTGACAGACTGTCTGCTTTCATTCTACATTATGTTCTACAGCTCTCAGCAAGTGTTCACGGAGCTACAACGCTTCTATATCCACTTCACTGGTATACATACGTACATATGAGAATTTATCTATATGTAGTAGTACGTATATTTTGACTGATATCTTTTGGAAAAAAGATTGCATTTCAACTGTCGAAAATACAAGTTATGTCAAGCAACGACATTATTGTAGTTTTCGTACGTCGGTTAACTGCCAAGCTAAACGCGTGTGTTTTTCATAGATGTATTCATGTTTATCCTCCCACCAGGCAACACATCTTCATTCCCATCATGCCGCAGCATCTCAAGGACTACTGCGGGTAAGTCAACCACCCACAGTCAGCAAACATCAGGCGCTCTGTACTGTACACGCACACTTTAGTCTACATCCAGCTGTTTTTGCTCATTTTGGTTTCCACCTTGCTAATGTAAGCCCAGTCTAACTGTACAACATCTGTCATTAGCTGGCATTTGTATACTGTATATGTACATACTCTACACATACACAGAGCACCGATGCCATTCCTGATGGGAGTTCATTCATCTCTCATGGAGGTGAGTATATATAAGACTGCATGACTGGTGGAGATTTGTATGCCACGTGAACTTCGCTCCTTCTCCCTCCCTTCCCCTATGAACTGTAGGATGTCCATCGAATGCCAATGGACGATGTCGTCATTCTGGACATGGACAACAATGTAATCGTCGTGTGTCTTTGTGTGTAAGGGGCCAGTGTGGATGTGTGCTTTGGGTTGGACCCTCCTTGTCCAAGTTGTTAATCGTCATAGAGAGATTGACTATCTAAACTATGTACCTGATCAATAGGATTCGAAATGTGCAGTTTACAATCAACGCTCTGTACCATGGCAACGTGGGGATGCCAGAAAACCTTAACTCTGTACCCTTTGGTGATGCTTTATGCGTTCTAGTGATGACTTGTACATGCGTCATGTGCCCATGACAGTGTACCTATAACAGTAAATGTCTAACTTTGCCTGAAGATTGACATACATTGTACAATCCAAATAGCTCATCCCTAATCTCTCTCTCCTCACACCCCATTTCTCATCTCTACCTCTTCGCCCCCAGGTGATAGAGTCACCGCACGTAGACGACCTGGGTAGCATGCCAGGCGAGGTGATAGCAGAGCTGAAACATGTCCTGAAGAAGGAGTCTTCTGGCTACGGGGACAATGCCTGCAAGGCCTTCATGCTGGCTATGGTCTCCATGATTGGCGGCTACCGGAAGGCCCTCAAGTTCAGAGAGGTTTGTAGTACACAGATTTCTATGTTCAGATAAAGGAGAAACAAGATATTATAATGTTGAGTGTAACTATGTATGTATGTACTACATACGCACGTGTATGAACCATTGTTCACTGTGCATGAGAGTTGTGAATGAGTACAGTATCTCTTTGCTTATCGCTTTGCAGGGAGAAGCAGAAGTTGTTTTCGACGAAGAAGCGTAAGTTTTTACCACACGCATGTACACATGTACTGAAGGTACAGTTTAACACACTCGACCATCTCATTTGCAACAGACTGTATACACAATACATACTCATAAAGGTGTACTCATATTAATGTTGGATATCCCTAGGCAACCGACATGTATGAAGCTAGGTACTGGGGGATTTTATCAGCCTATACAATCCTACATGTGCAAGCAGGGTTCATACATGTCATTTGCGTAGGGATATCCAAAAAATCTGTTGCAGGACAGCATGAGCCCTGTAGGCACTGCAACATATATATACAAATTTTCTGACATCATTTCGGTGTCTGAGACAGTGTGTGGTGAATGGTGCAGGTTCTTCACGTCCCGGCTGCAGATGGAGGAGTTCCTGGCATCTCTCCTCCACTTCCAACACTTCCGACAGTTCATCAACACCAAGATAGACCAGCTCAAGAATCGATCCATCGCACGGGATCTCTTTGACATGGAGGCCATGTTCTATGATGATGGTAGGCATAATCCATTCTGTTTCATGTTACATGTGTGTATATTACTGCAGAAGTTACGGTATGTGTATGTTGTAGTTTATAAAGTGACATGGTCATGGTGTGTCAGTGTAAATACATTGTACATCGCAGTTTTGTACATTATAGTGTATTCAGTACTATAATATCTGTCATTCTAATGCTAGAAATGAAAGGAACGACGCAGGAGAAAATCAAGACGGCATTCAACAAGTTTCTCACTTCAACGAGGGTGAGTGTCAGGTCCAATACTCATGGTGTTCTATGTATACAATATGCATTTGTGTTTGATTGTGTATGTAACGACGTTTGATGACAGGGTGGGGGGAAGAGGCTGATGGAGAAGAGCGAGAAATTCTCCCACCAGCTACAGAAAGGAGTTACAAAAGGGGTAAAGATCCGTGTGTGTTTTTGTTTCGTCCGTTCACTTGTCGTAAACTTTGAGCCTGTTTTTCTTCTCTCGTCTGCGTGTAGTACGGCAAGATAGTGGACAAGAAGTCTTTTCAGAGGTTTGTCAAAGACACAAAGAGAACTTGGGCCGAGTTGGGAACAAGGGTTAGTGCCATACACATACACACCTCTCTTTCCACACCCTCTGTATGATGTAATCTCTATATCCCCACCATCCATGTGTACATGTATCTATGTCCATCTTCCGTCCCTCCCTCGCTCTCCTTGCTAGGATCGCATCGAGGACTCGGGAGAGAACGATCAGGTGATGGTGACGGACAAATCTGGTGTCAGTCTGTCTCGGAGCAGCTCCAGTCTCTCCAGCTCCAGCCTCCCTCCTGCCTTGCTAGTTGCACAGGTGACCACACTATGTATATAGTACATACAGTATGTGACTGGAGAGCGTTTTAGCGTTGTAGAGAACAGGAGGGGCAGTTTTTCTCATGAAAAGAAACTCTTAATTCAAACCTATGTATGTACAAGATGATACTTTTGGTTTGTCTGCACGCGAAGCCCTTCACCCTTCGTGGTAGCATCAGCTTACATAATGGACCCGTACGGCCTTCGGCTGGAGAGTTCGGTTGTTATGGGACCATGCGGTCTATGTATGTGCAGTTGGATAAAGTCACTGAGGTACTGCACATAGTTTGCTTGACCCCTGCGTACGGTACATGCAGATGTGTGTGGAGTGAATTGCATTCTTTTACGACACCAAATAGTAGTACCCTAGATTAAGGTTCTATTACGGTGGGACACTCCCTTCAAGGTGTAGGAAATACCATGGCGGCCCTTACAGTTCAGAGAATTTACTTTCCATTCTATATACCACCTTTATTTCCTTATTGGTGTGTATGTATATACTTCTCCTAATAGCCATAAGAACATTTGCCCAACGTTCGTTGTGGTCTCAGAAAACTGTATTTTAGTCACTGAGTGTAACAACACGTACATGCATAACTGTCATTATTCACTGAATACATGTTTTCCCCCCTTGACCAAATTAGCTTTAGTTTGCGTATGAAAGTGGTTATAAAAACAGTTCCCAAACACCTCAGTCGATCGAACCACCCAACATTCTGTCTACAGTGCAACTGCTCTGTACATTAATCAACATGCACCTGCTCTGAATAACATCAACACACTGTGTAACAGGCGACACACTACACTTGAGCTAGAACTTTGTAGGCCATGATCCAAGACTTGTAATAGCAGTAGCACGGAGTTGGAACGTGAAAAGAACTGTGAATATCGTGCAGTTTAAGCTGTAAAATTCGTGCAATAAGCACGCACCACTCTCCACCAGTTCTGTACTGGCACACAATCAATACTAGGCTAGGTTCACAATACGTCACACTGCCCTGTTGCACTCTGCTCCGTCTCTCACATTGCATTGCAAAGATATATCCTATCCCAGTGATGCGGCACGTCACGAATAGGCAATGTGACGTATATTATGAACCTGTCCTTAGTTTGCTACTAAATCACATAAAGTTACTTAATTGTACACTTGAGTTCATACTATGTATATATGTATGTACGTGGTCATAACTCTGCAGGCATCCAAGAGGCCTCCACCTCGAGTCATTCCCTACCACAAACACCAGGAGGGGAAGAAGCGATTGGCGGAGGTCCTCAAACAGCAGAACCAACGGACCTCGGTTGGCTCCCTGGACCAGGGGGCAGTCCTCAAGATGTTGGCCTCCCCCGAGTCCCTCCAACCTCCGGACGACCTGGCAGAGAAGGCCAGTCTGGACAGCAGAGGGTCCACCGAGGCCAGTATTAGTATCTCATCCGGAGAGGTGGCCACCGGCACTCTCATTGACCTGGCAGGTACAGTGTGTGTGTGTGTGTGTGCGTGCATGTGTGTGTGTTTGTACATGTGTGTGTGTGTGTGCGTGTGCGTGCATTCAGGCCGATGTGTGTGCTGTGGCGTAGTGCATACCTAATGAGAATTGGGCATGTCTGTGGTTGTCAAAATTGCTGTGTGGATTGCTTCCATTCACTCGCCAAAAGTGCCTTGTGTTTCACAATGGTCAGAGCCTTTTTTATTCACACACATTTACTTCCATACAACATGAAAGAGTGCGTTACACGTACGGAGGGACTGGTTTTACAGAACCTGTTTGTACATCATCTATATATACCCCTTTATTGTTTTTGCCAACGGTGCAGATGTGCCAAGACAGACTGCAGTGGTAGAGACAGAAGAAGGGAGGACGAGAGAAAGGACAGAGGAGGAGAAGGAGGGGAACAGGGAGAGAAGTAACACTGGCTCTGACTCTATGGTCTCCACGGCCAGCAGTAGCTCAGAGGAGCTCACTATCTCCACAGTCAACCAAAGAACAGGCTGGGTCAACTTTGAAGAAGACGACTCTTTCAAACCACCTCTCCCTCCCCCGCGCTCTGAGCTGGACAACATATCCGGGGGAGGGGAGGTCCTGGTGAACCCTCTCGTTGAGACTACCAGCGAAGAAGTGGTTGACTTTAACCCGTTTGCCACTACGGACTCTGGACCAGCAGCGACGGGGAGGGTATCGCCGTTTGAGGATTTCGGTGCTCAAGTTGCTCAAACTCTGTTCAATCAGTCGCGAAACCGTTCTAGTCTTGATTCATACACGGCAGACCTCATGGCTACGGCTAGCCGGGACATTTACATGGCTCTCAACTCTACTAGTCACCCTCCAACTATCCCCGAGAGAAGAGAGAGTGGTGTGTCTCTTCCCGAACCTCTCGCCCCCACCTCTTCCTCCGGTAGTCTGTCTAGTTTAGAGCGGGGGAGCTGTCCACAGACCGTTCCTTCCATCAACCCGTTTGCGCCTCCTCCGCCCCTCTCGTCAGCAACTAACGGGTTCCCTCCGAGTCACCCTCTGGTGCACAGAGAGTGGGTCCGTCCGAAAGGCCCTCCGCCTCCAAAACCGCAGCCTTACTCGGGGAAACCTGTCTCTGTGCTTTGCACAGCAGCCAGAACTGACGATCCGTTTGGGAATTTGCTCGAGGGGCTGTCAATGGAGGCTTATGCAAACTCTCCTTCTTCTTCTTCTTTGTCTTCAGTCAACAAGTGCAGTTCACCAGGTGGTCAGTTGCCACCATCAGCATCTCAACACACTTCCGTAGAGTCTCCACTCGTGTAATGTGTGTCCAGTGTAACATACCGTTTTGTGTTTTGTGAATGTTGTGCTGTTTTTTCGTCCAATTTTTTGCGCAGTTAACAGAAATTGTATGAATCATACGTGATGTGTGTGTGTGTATGATCATGCGTGTGTGCGCAGCGAGTAGAGGTGGATCCAATCAGCGTGCGTAAATGGGGGTGGGGCTACATAGACTATATATTAGAGGCGAGAATGGCTACCAGTACGTTTCTCCTGCTCCTGGTCTCTGCTACAGCGACTTGCTGCCTGGCCTCCAGCTACGACCTCAATGCCTGCACTTACACCGGCGTCAACGGGAAGGTCTATGACCTCTCACCGCTCATTCCGAAGAAGTAAGCGGTGCGGCTAACGTGAGCTCCTAGTCTAAATCTGCATGCAAAACTTCAGTAATGTACAGTCTAGTGAAAGCTATTCTCACTGAACGATCATCTAGTTTGTAGCATGCATGCTGCTTCACAGCAACGTTTGCTAAACCTACGTGGCTATCGGTTGTTGAATCGTGTCTGAGTGTTGCTCTATGGGTGCCTGCAGCGAGAGTGGCTACGTGTGGACACAGACGGTGTACGACACGACGGGGAACATCCTCACAAACCCAGACTTCTCAAACCCGGTCAAGAAGACCCTCCAGGTCCACGTCTGTAGGAACATCACCAAAGCCATGAACACCAACTGCTCCTCCAAGGGACTTGCCCCGGTCTACATGGTAAAAACCTCTCCTTTTTTCTCCCCCTTATCCTTGTGACTTGGCTATGTCCCATTCTTCTATACTATACCCATTGTCCTTCTGTTGAACCCTCTAAAGCCAGAAGGGGTTGATAGCATGTGCCGATAACAAATCACATGATATTAGTTTTGACAATGATTTTTATCACTTTAATTGTCTATTATTCATTGGTGGAAATGTTTTAGAACGATGACAGTAGTGGAGAGTGCAATGCATATGGGAACATCAGGACTGCCAACATACAGCCCAACCCTTTCAATGACGGTAAGTATATACACTATGCTGAAAATGGGTACATGTAGAGGTTCTTTGGTGTGTGGGTGTAGTGAAAACATCTGCATAAGAGACAGTTTGGGGGCTTCCACAATAACAGGAAGTAATCACTAAGTTCGATAGCTAATACTGTAGAAACATTTTCCCACACAGACACTGATGTCAGGGGTGTCAGCATGCTCAAATCTGTTTGTTAACCATGCTTCATGTATCCCATCCCATCCCTATCTTTTCTCCCTATCATCCCTATATGCCCTATTAAAAATTCGCAGGATTTTAAAATTTTACTGAGTACTGCCCCATAACTCCAACCATCATACATCCACCATGCAGGGGTGTTCATAGACTACTATGGAGGAGAGGCAGAGAGCCACATAGTCCAGTACTCTGCTCGACTCTACTTTGTCTGCAAGGCAGGCACCACGCTGGAGGGCCCAACACTGGAACATGTCAAAGACTCTTACACTGCACACATTCGCTTCAACACGAAGTATGTGTGCTAGACCACACCTCTGCTATAATATATATAGCTGTGTAGGTTCACTGTGCTGGTGAACAAGAGCTGTTTTAAACATTGTGTTTGAGATTTGGAATAATAAATTTTGAGTATGTACATATAAGGTGTAGAGTTCAGGTATGTGCACTAGTCATTAACGCATTCCGACTTCCCATTGCCCGCGCCTCGTAGCGCTGATTGGTTCCGCGTGGCTAAGCATCGCCTGGTATATACCCAGGCCTTTTACGAGGAAACGGCCTGGGTATGGCGTAGCATAGCGTTGGCCTTCTACGCGCGAGAGAGAAGGCCTGGTACACACTGTTCGCGCATGCGCTGAATACACCTCACAGCACATGCGATTCAAATTCTCGGGCAAATTTTCGCCACTGAGCCTGTTGTTAAACGGTGATTCGTTCATAAACGTGAAGTCTGCGCGTTTCAGGGAACGCCATACTACCGCCTCTGCGGAAGTATCCAATACAAATGATGACGTCAGGACACGGGGAAGATTCCTTGGTAGCGCTGTGGCTACGACTTTCATTGCTATTGCGCATTTCCTTTCACTTCCATTGCAGTTTGCGGTAGCGCAATTTGAAACGGTGACTCCTCTCGGCCACCGTACATTGGGTCAGAAATGATTACTGCTCAGGCAATATTTCTTGTGGCTTTTCTTACAATCCGTCTTAGTTCACAGCAGGATTGCCAGAGAGGCAAGTTCATAGAGTAGCAGTGACTGGTAATGGTATCAAACCTGTGTACAGTTCTTTCAGGGATTCTAGAAACTGGTACTACAACATCTCCAGTGGCATACAATGGTATTGAGCCAGACACAACAGGCTGTGCAGTTGGTCCAAGGTTTCTGGATTGTGGAGCAGGAGAAGGAGTGTTGAGTGATGGAGACATTGGACCTACAGACTCAGTGGATGTCAGTGATCAAGACCAGGTCACCAGGTTCTTTGTCTGGCATCGAGACAATGGCTCTGTGGGACTCCATTTCAGAGCCACTGATATCTCTACTGTGTCCTACATTGAAGTCTACTTATTGAGTCTTCCCTCTGCCAAAATAGGACCACCTGCGACTACTAGAATTGCTACTGACCTAAATCCAAGAGTTGAGGATACTTTCATCCCTCAGAACTGCTCTTTCTCCTCCACTACCAATACACTGACCAAGAATACAATCGCTCTACCACAGAATCTTGATAATTTGGAGATCACGTTCGATTTCAACCAAGACACTGACTGGCTGTTCATCAGTGAGATACAACTGTGTGCAGGAGATCCTCCATCTTCCATCTCTTGTGGCTCTCCTACCACTGAACCCGCACCAACCTCCTCCCCTCCCCCCTCTCCCACCCCTTCCTCCCTCACTCTCTCCTCTCCCCCACCCACTGGAGTCACAGAGAGCCCTGACCTGGGTCAGCCTGACTCTGTCAGTCTCACTTGCTCTGTGGCCAGTCCTCCTACTGGTGATGACTATCAATACCAGTGGCAGTGGTGGAGGAATGGGACACAACTGAGCAACACTGACACTCGATTCTCTATCACACACTCGCCAGTGGGTGGGGGGAGAGGAGAGAGTGAGGGAGACGGGTGGCGAGGGGGAGGGGAGGAGGTTGGTGCGGTTCAGTGGTAGGAGAGCCACAAGAGATGGAAGATGAGGATCTCCTGCACACAGTTGTATCCACTGATGAACAGCCAGTCAGTGTCTAGGTTGAAATCGAACGTGATCTCCAAATTATCAAGATCTGTGGTAGAGCGATTGTATCCTGGTCAATGTATGGTAGTGGAGAGAAAGAGCAGTTCTGAGGAATGAAAGATCCTCAATCTTGGACTTAGGTCAGTAGCAATTCTAGAGTCTCGGGTGGTCATATTTGGCAGAGGAAGACTAAGAAGTAACTTCAATGTAGGACACAGTAGAGATAGCAGTGGCGGTGAAAAGGAGTCCCACAGAGCCGTTGTCTCGATGCCAGACAAGAACACTGGTGACCTGGTCTTGATCACTGACATCAACTGAGTCTGTAGTCCAATGTCTCCATCACTCAACACTCCTTCTCTGCTCACACTCCAGAAACCTTGGAGCAACTTCACAGCCTGTTGTGTCTGGCTCTATACATTGTATGCCACTGGAGATGTCGTAGTACCAACTCTTGAAGCCCTGAAAGAACTGTACACAGTTTTATACCATTACTAGTCACTGCTACTCTATGAACTTGCCTCTCTGCAATCCTGCTGTGAATAAGACGATTGTAGAAAAGCCACAGAAATATTGCCTGAGCAGTAATCATTCTGACCCAATGTACGGTGGCCGAGAGGGTCACCGTTTCAAATTGCGCTACCGCAAACTGCAATGGAAGTGAAAGGAAATGCGCATAGCAATGAAAAGTCGTAGCCACAGCGCTACGAAGGAATCTTCCCGTGTCCTGACGTCATCATTTGTATTGGATACTTCCGCAGAGGCGGTAGTATGGCGTTCCCTGAAACGCGCAGACTTCACGTTTATGACGAATCACCGTTTAACAACAGGCTCAGTGGCGAAAATTTGCCGGAGAATTTGAATCGCATGTGCTGTGAGGTGTATTCAGCGCATGCGCGAACAGTGTGTACCAGGCTTCTCTCTCGCGCATAGAGGCCAACGCATGCTACGCCATACCCAGCCGTTTCCTCGTAAAAGTCTGGTATATACTTACACGCGGACCAATCAGCGCTACGAGGCGCGGGCAATGGGAAGTCGAATGCGTTAATGACTAGTGCACATACCTGAACTCTACACCTATAGGTAATACCAAAATTTATTATCCAAATCTCAATACAATGTTTTAAAACAGCTCTTGTTCACTAGCACAGTGAACCTACACAGCTATATATATTATATAGCAGAGGTGTGGTCAGCACACATACTTCGTGTTGAAGCGAATGTGTGCAGTGTAAGAGTCTTTGACATGTTCCAGTGTTGGCCTCACGTGGTGCCTGCCTTGCAGACAAAGTAGAGTCGAGCGAGTACTGGACTATGTGGCTCTCTGCTCTCTCCATAGTAGTCTATGAACACCCTGCAATGGTGGATGTATGATGTTGGAGTTATGGGGCAGGTACTCAGTATATTTAAAATCCGCGATTTTTAATAGGGCATATAGGGATATAGGGAAAAAGAAGGGAGGATGGGTACATGAAGCATGGTTAACAAACAGATTTGAGCATGCTGACACCCCGATATCAGTGTCTGTGTGAAAAGTTTCTACAGTATTAGCTATCGAACTTAGTGATTACTTCCTGTTATTGTGGAAGCCCCCAAACTGTCTCTTATGCATGATGTTTCACTACACCCACACACCAAAGAACCTCTACATGTACCCATTTTCAGCATAGTGTATATACTTACCGTCATTGAAAGGTGGGCTGTATGTGGCAGTCCTGATGTTTCCCATATGCATTGCACTCTCCACACTGTCATCGTTACAAACATTCCACCATGAATAATAGACAATTAAAGTGATAAAAATCAATGTCAAAACCTAATATCATGTTATTTATATCCAGCACATGCTATCACCCCTCTGCTTTAGAGGTCAACAGAAGGACATGGTATAGTATAGAAGAAGGACATAGCCAAGTCACAAGGATAAGGGGAGAAAAAAGAGGTTTTTACATGTAGACCGGGCAAGTCCCTTGGAGGAGCAGTTGGTGTTCATGGCTTTGTGATGTTCTACAGACGTGGACCTGGAGGGCTTCTTTGACCGGTTTGAGAAGTCTGGGTTGTGAGATGTTCCCCGTCGTGTCGTACACCGTCTGTGTCCACACGTAGCCACTCTCGCTGCAGGCACCCATAGACAACCTCAGACACGCATTCAACAACCGATACGCCACGTAGGTTTAGCAAAACGTTGCTGTGAAGCAGCATGCATGCTACAAACTAGATGATCGTTCAGTGAGATAGTTTTCACTAGACGTACATTACTGAAGTTTGCACTGCAGATTTAGACTAGGAGCTCACGTAGCCGCACCGCTACTTCTTTCGGAATGAGCGGTAGAGGTCATATACTTCCCGTTGACGCCGGTGTAAGTGCAGCATTGAGGTCGTAGCTGGAGGCCAGGCAGCACAGTCGCTGTAGCAGAGACCAGGACGCAGGAGAAACGTACTGTACCATTCTCGCTCTAATATATAGTCTATGGAGCCACCCATTTACGCACGCTAATTGGTAGTACTAGTACCTCTACTCGCTGCGCGCACATGCACACACGCATGATCATACACACACATCACGTATGATTCATACAATTTCTGTTAACTGCGCAAAAATTGGACGAAAAAACAGCACAACATTCACAAAAACACAAATGGTATGTAACTGACACACATTACACGAGTGAGACCTACGAAGTGTGTTGAGATGCTGATGGGGCAACTGACCACCTGGTGAACTGCACTTGTTGACTGAAGACAAGAAGAAGAAGAAGGAGAGCTGCATAAGCTCCATTGACAGCCCCTCGAGCAAAATTCCAAACGGACGTCAGTTCTGGCTGCTGTGCAAAGCACAGAGAGAGATTCCCCGAGTAAGGCTGCGGTTGGAGGCGGAGGCCTTTCGGACGGACCCACCTCTGTGCACAGAGGGTGACTCGGAGGGAACCCGTTAGTTGCTGACGAGAGGGGCGGAGGAGGCGCAAACGGGTTGATGGAAGGAACGGTCTGTGGACAGCTCCCCCGCTCTAAACTAGACAGACTACCGGAGGAAGGGTGGGGCGAGAGGTTCGGGAAGAGACACACCACTCTCTCTTCTCTCGGGGATAGTTGGAGGGTGACTAGTAGAGTTGAGAGCCATGTAAATGTCCCGGCTAGCCGTAGCCATGAGGTCTGCCGTGTATGAATCAGACTAGAACGGTTCGCGACTGATTGAACAGAGTTTGAGCACTTGAGCACCGAAATCCTCAAACGGCGATACCCTCCCGCGCTGCTGGTCCAGATCCGTAGTGGCAAACGCGTTAAAGTCAACCACTTCTTCGCTGGTAGTCTCAACGAGAGGGTTCACCAGAACATCCCCTCCCCCGGATATGTTGTCCAGCTCAGAGCGCAGGGAGGGAGAGGTGTTTGAAAGAGTCGTCTTCTTCAAAGTTGACCCAGCCTGTTCTTGGTTGACGGTGAGATAGTGAGCTCCTCTGAGCTACTGCTGGCCGTGGAGACCATAGAGTCAGAGCCAGTGTTACTTCTGTCCCTGTTCCCTCCTTCTCCTCCTCTGCCTTTCTCTCGTCCCTGTTCTGTCTCTACCACTGCAGTCTGTCTGCACATCTGCACCGTTAGGTACATAAACAGGTCAGGACTTGGCAAAACAATAAAGGGTATATAGATGATGTACAAACAGGTTCTGTAAAACCAGTCCCTCCGTACGTAACACACTCTTTCATGTTGTATGGAAGTAAATGTGTGTGAACAAAAAAGGCTCTGACCATCGTGAAACACAAGGCACTTTTGCGAGTGAATGGAAGCAATCCACACAGGCAATCCACACAGGCATGCATGTGAGTGTCATCATCCTAAGAGGCTCAATTTTGACAACCACAGACATGCCCAATTCTCATTGGTATGCACTACGCCACAGCACACACATCGGCCTGAATGCACGTACGCACACACACACGACATGTACAAACACACACACATGCACGTACGCACACGCACACGCACGCACACACACACGCACACACTGTACTGCTCAGGTCATGAGAGTGCCGGTGGCCACCTCTCCGGATGAGATACTAATACTGGCCTCGGTGGACCCTCTGCTGTCCAGACTGGCCTTCTCTGCCAGGTCGTCCGGAGGTTGGAGGGACTCGGGGAGGCCAACATCTTGAGGACTGCCCCTGTCCAGGGAGCCAACCGAGGTCCGTTGTTCTGCTGTTGAGGACCTCCGCCAGTCGCTTTCTTCCCTTCCTGGTTTTTGTGTAGGGAATGACTCGAGGTGGAGGCCTCTTGGATGCCTGCAGAGTTTATAACACTTACATACATATGTATGAACTCAAGTGTACAATTAAGTAACCAAATTAAGGGACAGGTTTCATAATATACGTCAGATTCTATTCGTGATGTGCCGCATCACTGGGATAGATATCTTTGGCAATGCAATGTGAAGGACGGAGCAGAAGTGCAACAGGGCAGTGTGACGTATTGTGAACCTAGCCTAGTTATTGATTGTGTGCCAGTACGAAACTGGTGGAGAGTGTGCGTGCCTTAGTTTTGCACGAAATTTTACGCTTAAACTGCACGATATCATAGTTTTTTCACGTTCCAACTCCGTGCTAACTGCTATACAAGTCTTGGATCATGGCCTACCAAGTTCTAGCTCAATGTAGTGTGTTGCCTGTTACACAGCGTGTTTGATGTTATTCAGAGCAGGTGCATGTTGATTAATGTACAGAGCAGTTGCACTGTAGACAGAATGTTGGGGTGTTTCGATCGACTGAGGTGATTGGAACTGTTTTTTAAACACTTTCTACGCAAACTAA